AAAACCTGGCACAATGTTACAGGCAAATAAAGATGAGAAATTACTGTAGAATCACTGAGGGCAGCTCTGGTTAGATGGATAATACATCTTTAAATCACTGGGAGTTGCTCTCCTTAGTAATGGCTAAGAGGCCATAGCCTTGGTTTGTTAAAGGTTGCGGCCCCACGTGGATGACAGATGGGACACTAGGAGCTTGGTGTTCTGGGTTCATAAGGTGGCAGAGAGCTGGCTTCTGCCCTGACCTTGTGTTCATGGGACTAGATTTGTCTTCGTCGAGAGGGAGCCACATATATAATAAGACAATCTTACTCATCAGAGCTGGAACTTTGGGCAGAGAAAACTGTGTCCCAGATGTGTACCAGATGCAACCGTCAGGTGCTGGTTCAAGCAGTGCTTCCCTTTGAGCCACCTAATTCTCCCTGAGTGGCTGCAATGTGCCCTTCTGCTAGTATGCACCAGAGCCTGCATCTAGGTCCCTCATATTCATAAAGTGGCAGAGAATTAAAAGGACTTGAACCTTACAGGCATTAGCCTCTTTGTTGGAAGATTTTCCATTTTGAAAATATTTTGAGTAGGTGGTTTTTTTGTTTGTTTGTTTGTTTGTTTGTTTGTTTGAGTACTGTAGAGTTCCCTAATGTTACCTTCCAATTGCAGGTGGGACATGCTAGCTGCCTGTGACTCCTCCCTTGGCTTCTTGCCTTTGCCAGTACAACTCCTGCTCTCCATTCAAGAGAATCCTTGGGGTCCTTTATGAAAAGTCTCAGAGCCAGCTGCATCCCCCAAAATGCTTTGCCCAAACAAGCATAGCTTGTTCCACATGAAAGCCCGTTTCCCAGGCTTCCTCAGTACTCCACTCAGGCATAGCCCTTCCTCTTTACACTTTGCAAGTGTGATGCAAGTCCTTGTTTCAGTGGTCTTCAAGCTCCAGTGGACCCATATTAACAGCTCCAGAGTATTATCTTGAATTTTTTTCCATTTGGCTTTCTCTTCTTCTTCCTCCCATGGGCAGTTGAGAGGAGGTCATATCATATTCTGTCAACTCTTTACAAAGCAATTCTCCCTACAGAATTTTTAATCTCAGATAATTCTTTGTTTTCTTATATTCAGCTGGAAATGGCTAATGGAACAATGTTGACTGAGCCAATTTCACAATCTCTGAATATGTCTTAAAGACCTCTAGCACCTAATTTTAGAAGTGTAGGGACTTTGTCACATTGTTCATGACTTTTGAGGTCCATGTTGAATGAAACGCAGATATAATGATAATATTACCCATTAATCACTTTATATATTTATCACATTATATTCATATAATCATTATATTGGTCACATATTGTCTTAGCCCACTTTGTGTTGCTATAATAGAATAGCACAGATTTGTCAATTTATAAACAATAGAAGTTTATTTGGCTAAGAAATCCAAGACCATGGCATCAGCACTTGGTGAGGGCCTACATGCTTCATCTCCCATAGCAGATGGTGGATGGGTAAGAGAGGTCAACAAACCCACTCTTCTGATAACTAACCCACTCCTGAGATAACATTAATCCATTAGTGAGGGCAGAGCATATTAACAGATTAATGACTCAATCACCTCCTGTTGGATCTACCTCCCAACACTGTCGCATCAGGGATTAAGTTTCCAACACATAAACTTTGGATGACACATTGAAACCATGGCACATATATTGATCACGTTAATAAATGATCAGCATGATAACACAATATGATGGGATGATAACACAATATGATGGGATGAAGTAAGAACATTTGGAAAATAGTGATAGCTCAGAACACCATACCCTAAATTATGGCATTTTAGAATACTGTTTTAAACTGAAAAAAATAAGCAAACCACAGAAGCAGGAAGGTGTCTCTCCAGGCCCTCTGAAGTGGGTCACAGAAACTAGAATTCTTCTACCCTGACCAAGCCATAAAACCTAAAAAGGTCACTGTCTGACTTCTTCCATCTCTTATCCCCTGAAGACCCTCATATGACAGATGTCCTACTCCATACCCAAGGGGAAGGAATGGCACACAGAGATGCAGAAAAAGCCTGAAGAAGCCAGGCGCAGTGGCTCACACCTGTAATCCCAGCACGTTGGAAGGCCGAGACAAGTAGATCACGAGGTCAGGAGATCGAGACCATCCTGGCTAACACAGTGAAACCCTGTCTCTATTAAATATACAAAAAATTATCCAGGCATGTTGGCAGCTGCCTGTAGTCCCAGCTACTCAGGAATCTGAGGGAGGAGAATGGTGTGAACCAGAGAGCAGAGCTTGCAGTGAGCAGAGATCGTGCCACTGCACTCCAGCCTGGGTGACAGAGTGAGACTCCATCTCAAAAAAAAAAAAAAAAAAAAAAAAAGTCTGAACAAACAGATCCTGCTGAGTACTCCCAGTTTATTATCATTAAACCATACCCCTTTTTGTGTAATCCTATTTCTTCATAACTATCCATGTCCCATGACTTTCATCAAACTTAACATACAAATACATGTATTTCCCTGAGTCTTTGAGTCTTTATTTCCAAATGTTCTTGTGTCACATAAAACTTTTAATAAATCAATGTATATGCGTTTCTCTTTACTATGACTTTTTCAGTTTTACTTTCAGGCATACCCAGAGACACTAAGTGGATTGAGGAAACCTTTCTCCCCCTTTCTATTCTGTAGACAGAAATGATCTGTATGATATTAAAATGTGTTATGTAACAAAAATAAGCTAACTAAGGAAATGTCAGCTGAACAGATTACACACCCAGAAACCCACCTAATAACCTATTATGGTATAAACAAATTACAAACTAGTGAGAAAAGAACAGGTTCATAATAAATACTGATGCTGTTGCTATTGATGAGTAATGTTAGGTTTGGATCCATGGAATGCAGGTCCTAAGGCAAAGACTTATACAATACCCCTTTATTAAAGAGCATAATCCAAGACAGTAAGAGTGAAGGGAAGGGGAATGAGGCAAAGAAAGAGAAAAACCAATAGAGGGAGCAAGAATGAATGACTGAGTTCACTGACTGCTCCACCTTGGAAGACCACTTTCTAAGAGGCTATAAAAGCAACTGCTTCTCACCACACTCCACCTGGGGTCAGAAAGCAGAAGAATTAATCTTTAGGCCCACTTTCTGTCATGGATTAGTCAACAGTGTGCCCCAAGGAGATTAATCAATCCAAACCCCTACCTCTGCCAAACACATTGTTACACAAAGAGAAATGGTGACCTCTCACTTCTCTACATCAATAGGGAAGCCTTAGAGTAGGAGGCAGGAGTCCTGTATTGGGAAGTTGGCCATAGGCTACCCCCAGTGGGTCCTGACAGTAGTCACTGGGACCAAAACAAGTAAAACACGTGCAACAGAACAGTTGAGGCAGAACCATTGTAAAGTGATGCCTGTCTGAGACAGATAAATTGAATTTGGATTGGAGTAGGGCATTAACTTAAAAGTATATGTGACATTATATTCAGAATAAATGCCAATAGTTAAATATTTACATTTAGAAAAATGAAACTATTAAAAAGGGTGCATTGTTTAATTGCACCTTTGCAATTTGCAATTGGTAAATTGATGCATGTTTAATATCTCCAAAGAAGAGCTTCTAAGGACACCAGCAACAGAAGAGACTCCAAAAGAAAATGAGAAGGGAAATACAATCTCTGTGCTTCACTAAGGGATGCTTAGATGTACTTCTTGAAAGTTTTTTTTTTTTTTCACTATCATCCAGAATACTATTTCTCTCCTTGTTCCTCTTGTATGTTTTTGAATTGCTTTATCTTGGTCTCCTTCAAGGACTCCCCCTCAGTAGTTTGTACTATACATGTTAGTCCTAACCAGATCCCTGTCTTGTTTCTGTTTCTCCCTCACTCTGTATGCTCTCTTAATGTTCTTGATGCCACACTCCAGAATTAATTATCTATAGGCTAAAGAGCTCCAAATCAATTTTGCCAATTTTGATCTTTTTTGAGTTCCATATCAATATTTCTATCTCTAACTGGATATGCCCATCTTTTTTCATTACAGGAATATCAAACTCTGTGAATTCGAAACTGAAATCAATACTTCCTTTTCTAGGATATATAATTGTCCCTTCCTTCCTGTCTTGCAAAGTATTGGAATTAACATCCATGTAGAAATATAAGGTAGAAATTTTAGAGTAATATCTTTGACACCCCTTTCTTCCTACCTTCCTTCCCCATATTCAACAAGTCAATTTCTCTTGTCAGTTCTTTCTCGGAATGTCTCTAAAATCTGGCCTGTCTTCAATTCCACTGCAAATGCCTTAGTTCAGAAACTCAGGATCACTTATCTGAAATATTGCAATAGCTTTCCATCTGTTCTTTCTCACACCAGGCCCTCCCAACTACAGTCTCTCCACCAGATTCCTGCCAAATTATCTTCCCGAAAGCATTTTTAATTGATCTTGCCCCTTTCCTGCTTTGAAACCTCTTCTTGATTCCATTCCTCATCGCAAGACTTTAGTTTTTGAAACAACACTTTTCTTTAACCTCATGTTTACCTAAAAGACAAATACATAACCTCAAACCCTTATACCACACTGTTTGGGCTTCTCTTAAACATCTAGGTCATAGTTTCACAATTTATCCATGTATGTGTCCAAAAATTCCAAACTGTGGGTTCTCTCACAGTAGAAACTCTATGTTATTCACAGTTTTATGTCTCAGAGTGTAATACATTGTCTAGAGCTGTGTGGGAGTTCAAAAAAGGCTATTGTTGAATGAATTAATCATTAAAGACAGGATCTGTTAAATCAGCATTTTCCAAAATATATGCAACAAGTATGTTAAATAATGTAGTATAAAATTGTGGCTTTATAGACAAACAACTCTCAGGCATTTTTGAAAAATAAATAAAACATATTTTAAACTGGAGTACTTCCCAAAATCATTAATATTCTTTAATGCATATTATGACTCTTTAAAAAAGCAATGTAGCATAAAATATGAAATAAACTTTTTGACTACTGAATGAGTTTTTGAAATGAGTAGTGCTCTAACAAAATGACTTTGGAAATGCTTTTATAAACAAATACACAAATTCACTGTATGAAGGTAATGAAGACAGCTTCCTCTCATGTATATCTTTATTCTTCAGGATAATATATCATATGACCCAAGTATACAATTTTATTCTAATTAAGTTTCGGATATTATGCAAGGGAAGTGAAAGCAGCTTAGGCAAGGTTATTTTTCCAATGGCATTCCAAGCAAACATTATGGATGATGCCCTATTCCACACAACAACAACAATAATAAATTAAATAAATAGTCATGTAATATTGCTTTTGGATTATATTCTCACTTTTGATGAAAATGTACATTTAAGTCCTTGAGAACCCAGGGCAATGCTGACAACAGAAAGCAGATAAATGGATTGTGACTCTGTACATAGTAAAGCAAACATTCCAAGGAAATAATTATATCTATGATTTTTTTTCTTTCAGAACAAATACAAACTATTCTCAACTTTTCCTAGGTGGAAAATGATTTGTTGTCCTCATTAAAAGAGGGAAGTCCTGATTCCATCAATCTGTGTTGGTTGTACAAATGCCTTGATATGCATTCACAGATAACAGTCTATTTAAAGGCTACATGGAGGAAAGAGGACAAACTGGCTATGATTGTTAATTTTATGTGTCACCTTGCCTGGGCCACAGTGTTCAGATATTTGGTCAGATATTTTTTGGATGTTTCTATGAGGATGTTTTGAACTAAATTTACACTTAAATTTCTGAACTTTGAGCAAAGAACATTGACCTTCATAACGTGAATGGGCTTCATCCAATCAGCTGAAGTCCCGAATAGAACAAAAGGCTGAACTCTCATGAGCAAGAGGAGATTCTTTAGCAGGCTGCCTTTAGACTTTATCTGCAACATTGGCTCTTCTTGGCTTGCCAGTGGACTGACTTTGGAACTAAATTGCAACTCTTTCCCGAGTCTCCAATGTGTTGGGCTCCTCCATCAGATTTTGGACTCACCAAGCCTCCACAATCATGTGAGTCCATTTCTTCAAGTAAATCTCAGTCTATCTATCCAAGCCCCCTCCTTCGCATCCCCAGCTCCTGCCTTTCTGATCTCTCTGTCTCTGTCTACATACACACACACACACACACACACACACACACACACACACACACACACATACACACGGGAAACCATGGCAGTAATTGCATAATCACTCTAGTCCAAACATTTCCCAAGCTGGCTTATGGAATTTCTATCGATTCATTTGCAAGCACTATATAATATTCTGGGAACTCCTATCCCATTTATTCCTCCGCCTGTCCACTCTAACCTGGATGTCTGGTTAAGCCAATCAGATTCTTTCTCCAGAACACTACAAATAAAGCTGAGGAAGTGATGTCAGTCTTCCTTGGGGCATGTGGAATACCCTAAAAGAATTCCAGATGTTTATAATATGAAGCCAGGGTTGAGAACCCAAGATACAGGACCTTATGTGCTGAGGACCCATGATACAGGACCGTCGATTTTAACCTTATTTCAAGATCAGTGGTTTTTTTGTTTGTTTTGTTTTGTTTTTAATCCTAAGAGCTATAGGAAATCACTAAAAGCTACTAAATTTTAAGTGTTCTTACCAGGGTTGAGTTTTTTAAAATGCATATCATGGCGGCTGGGAGAGAATGAATTGAGTGAAGGGGACAGGTGTGGATATAAGAAGATTTAGTGACTTAGATCAGAAAAGTAGCAGTAAGAAATGAAAAGCTGGTAGATTTGAGGTACATTAGGAGCTGGAACTGACAGGAAATTATCAATTGATTGTCCGGGTGTAGGCATTAGAAAGAATGAAAGGTCAGACTTCACTCCTAGGTGTCGAAAGCAACAGATGATGGCAACAAGATGCTGGCACTTACTAAACAGGAAACAGTGAAGAGGATCAAGTTTTGACTCCATTTTTGGCATTTGAGCTTGATGTGCAAGAAATTTTATATGTATGTCTAGAATACAAATATAAATTTGGCAGTAAGCATTAAAGTGATAAACTCAGTAATCTCTTCTTTGATAACACTTATGCTGGTTGCAAGGACTGTGAATTATTACAGAGATGAGATAAGGGCTGAATGCAGAAGTAAATATAAGATGTTGCAGTGGGAAAAGATTTGTGTGTGTGTTTACTTACTCAAAGTACAGGTAAGATGTGCCTCTTTTAACTACACTTAAAATGATAATCCTACTCTCTTTTCTGTCTCCATAACAGAATATCACAAACTGGGTAATTTGTAAAGAAAATAAGTTTATTTAGCTCACAGATCTGGATGCTAGGAAGTCCAAGACCATGATGCCAGCATCTGGTGAGGGCCTTCTTGCTGTGTCATAACATGGCAGAGGGCATCACATGGTGAGAGGGCAAGTACATGCCAGCTTTCTCTCTTTTTGAAAAGCTGCCAGTCCCATCATGGGGGCACCACCCTGATGACCTTATCTAATTCTAATTGCGTTCAAAGGTCTCACTTCCAAATACCATCAACATGTGAACTGAGGGGTTAAGTTTCTAACACATGAAATTTGCAGGACACATTCAAAGCATAGCGGTAGTGAATTGCCTGGTCTGAAAAGGAGAAATGAAAAAGAGATGACTAACATTTAGAAACAATCTTTCAAACAGTTTTTTTTTTTAAATGTTTTTTTTTTTTTTTTTTTTTTTGCCAGAATTTAAGGGAGGCCACAATTAATAAGCACTTGCTAGTAATACTTAAAGTCAATAATAATCTGGCTCTAATCATTTTGATAAAAGTTTATTTGATTAAGCTATTAATAGATCACCATAGGCTGTTATGATTTATTCTTGATGCACCACAGAAATATGTCTAAATGTTGTGTGACCTATCAAAAGGACTGATTTTCCTGACTCGAGGGTTTTAACTTCTGTGGTGAATCTGAAAACAGTGAGTATGCCATCAGGAAATTTTGGGTGTCTGGAAAGCAGTGGTCACCAATCGTTTTCCAGAAATTATCAACAGTGCCTCTCCGAGAATTGTTGAGTTTCCCAACAAAATCAACATTCTCTTATGGCTAGGCGGATCTCAGGTATGGACCCTGTAATCACTCATCTATGAGTTTGATAGGGCTGCGAATACAGATAAACAATTGGTGGATGGCAACCAAAGACATGGTGACTTTCTTTCAGCAAATGCTTTCTCCCAAAAGGTAAAATAAAGTTATTGATATAGGAGCAACAGATGAGAAACAAAACAAAAAATTGTTATGACTGTAAAAGGAATAATTTATAATGGAAAAGTTTATCTGTTCTTACAGGTCAAAAAGCTAATATGTTTGAGAACCATCTATTTAAAGAACAGCAAGTTTGGACCAACAATAAAGACCAACGGTGAAAGCAGGCAGCCCCAGAATAACTAGAAAACGCCAAAAGGAGGACCTCCTACTCACAAATATCAAACCATTTGACAGCAACTTTCAACACTAGGTTTGCATTTTTAAAATAACTTTTCTTTAGGCTCATCCATAACAACTCAAGGATTTCCTACAGAAGGACCTAACCAGGGCTGTCATTCAGCCACGACTCACAGGTTAGTGACATCAGCTGGCAATCCAACTTTCAGCTTTGCTGGGGACATTTTAATCGCCAGAAGTTCACAAAATATCTGTTGTTAAATATTTTGAATATCTCTCCTAAGCCTACCTAAATCCTGGAGAAATAGGTATACCTTATCAAAAAGATATTGTTAATCCAAAGTGATACATGGTATAAAAAGTATTCACATTTGGCTTTGAAGTGTATTTTTGTGCTAACATTTGAATGTGTGTCTGATGTTCTGAGAAATTACTTCAAAGAGATTAATGAAGCCATACAGTGAAGACCTGACTCAGGAAAGCTGGGAAATTGTCCAGCTTTTTCTTCATTCTGTTTCCCTGCCGAACTCCTCTTTGACACCCACTCTCTGACACCAACAAGGTATAGCTAAAATATCTTTTAGAATAATATCAATCCTTCCTTATAGAATGGAAGATGGCAGTTTGAACACTGCAGACTTTTTTTTTGTTACAGCAGACAATGCAGAATTTAAAAATGCATCTATAATCTATCTTTGTTGATTGTATCTTTATTACGCACTTTCCTTTCATCCTTTTGAAAGAGGCTCTGGTTTTATTTAGAGATCCTAGTGCTTTCAGGAAAACTGGGTTCCATCTCAGCTTCAGGTGTGGAAAATGTGACCTGGGCATCCTCCAAGCTTCAAGTGTGGGAAATGTGACCTTGACACAGTACATCCCATTTCCTTCATCATAGTCATTGGGTTCAGACCTGAATATTCATCCTAAGCTTGTATAATAACAGTAAATCCCAGAATTATTGAAGGATTGCAGCTAAGCTCTCTTTCTTTGGATGATGTCATATATAGATATGAAGCTTAGGCCTGCTGTAGACATTTTAATATAGTTATTGTGAAGATAAACCAATGTAAAAGATGCACAGGCTGAGAAATACAGAGCTGGATCTCTCATGATACTGTAAACCTCTCCATGAAATCATGCCTGAGCCCTTCCCCATCCATTAACACATGCACTTAACCAAATATTTTTTTCATTTTTTAAGTCAATTAAAGTTGAGTTTTCTGTTATTTGCAATTTATGGCCTCCTAATTGAAACAGTAAGTCAACAAACAGGTAATTAAACTGATTAGGAACTGTCAATTATGTGAAAATATAAATGCTTCCAATTAATATGAAAGAAAATTTCACCATAGATAATGACAAGTTGATAGACACATTTGCCTCTCTCTGTGTTGTGTCTTTCTCTGTCTCTCTCTCAGCATTTACATGCAGGCACACACACACACATATCACCAATCTATGTTGCCTGCTATATTTTAATTCAGCTGAGCTGTATATTTTCAAAAATTAAATGATAAAAAAAATAATCTCTATGTTATGAGCTAAAGTCCACTTGATCCTGGAAGAGTAGCTTGTGAGAAGGTCAATGTATATCAAATATCAGAATGTTCGGCTCCAAAAGTTCCAGTAGCTTAAGCTTCTGTGCTTTAATCAGATGTAGATTGTATCTTTTTGTACAAAGAAGTAAATAAATTTTGACTAGAAGAAGAATAACCAGAAATGGTACTGGCAATAAATGAAAATAAGAAATCAAATACTATGAATTAGACTTTTTATCCAATCCTCGTATTGACAAGACATCATTGTCAATATTTTGAAGTATTCAGAAGAGTCTAATGTACTTTATTATTACACAATAATAATTTTCTTATGTATGGTAGAACTGAAGCAAAAAAAAGAAGTCAATAGTCAGCAAAATTAACGTAAAAATAATGCTTTATCACCTTTTAGAATATGGTGATGAATATAAATATATAATAAGCGTCTTGTATAAAATTTTGCTACAGCAGTTTTTTTAACCTATGATTCAGGGGTTGCACAAAAACAAATTTACTAGATAAAATCTTGTCAATATTATTGGGTATCTGTATAGAAGTAATTAAAAATTAATAAAGAGAATTTCACAATCAAAGGTCATGTTGCTGTTGTTCAAGCCCTTATAGCTAGGTAATTGCTTTCTCTAAGAAAAAATCTTGGCAATGCATCATTAGCCTTTCCCTGTAGTCAGAACAACTGCAGCGAGGCTGTTCTTGAAAGTGCTCAGTGACACATCCTGCCAGGGCAATGGCTTGTGTCGGCACTCTGCTTTCTGCTGCAGAGATGTATAGGACCAACCGACAGGCACATCATTAGCAATAACTGGGAAACAGGAATTACGACACAATGGAAAGATAAATGCATTCCACCCAAAGCAACCTGAGAGAAAGGTAGAAAGAAGAAGCTTAGTGATGGAATAGGTGGTTTGGGTGGCTTCAGTTACAAACATATAAGGTTGAGTTAGCAACTGAAATTGTCTTCAACAGAATCTGAGAGATATCAAGGGAAGTCCCTCACTAGCAAATCAACAGTTGATACTCGTACAAAAGAGTTCTGAAGAGAGAAGCTATATTTACTCTACAATGAGGCAAAAGAAAAAATGCTCTCACTTGTAGAGTCTTAATTTTTTTAATTCAAAAGAAAAGGCATTTATGATACCATAGGATATTATGTAATATCAATGTTATACTGATAATCAAAGAAATTGTTTAATATGATGGACTTTTTTAAAGTACCTGGAAACAATGTGATGCACCTGCCTTCGATTACTGCCTTCTCACTGTGTCCTCACATGACCTGTTCTCTGTGCATGTGCACATGTCCCTGGTATCTCTTCATCTTCTTAAAAGGATGCCAGTCATATTGGATTGGGATGTAGCCTCGCATTCACCTCATTTAATCTTAATTACCTCTCTGAAGGTACAAATACAGTCACATTCTAAGGTACTGAGGGTTAGGGCTTCACCATATGAATTTTTAGGAGACACAATTCAGTTTATAATAATAGCTATTCTAATGCAGTACATAAACTACAACTTTGAAGAGAAGTTATTTATTTTAGTTTGATGAAATCAAAGCAAATAACTTATAAAGCAGCACCACATGGCCAGGATAATATGTGTACTACAGAAACTAAGCACGATACTTTTGAATATCAAGACCAAAATGTTAGATGAAGGCTGTTAAAATATTTTTATCAGGTAAAAACTACTTAAAATAACATCCAAATAAATTTATCAGTGTTAGGACTAGGGGAAAAAATCTGTTGTAAACTACCAAATGACGACCATATCTAGTGGAGGAAACAAAATTATCTATTTCTAAATAAAACTAAACATTTTTACTTCTTAGCAACTAGTTGGTAATTAGAAATAGGTGAATATTACATACAAATTTAAATTTATAATAAACTAAAAACCTAAAGTATGGAATTGGGAGCTTTTACTAGCTCATGAAGGAAAAGGCATGTCTCGTCTTCTGCATCGTCACTACTCCAAAATAAATGATGCAATGAGAACTGTCTACATGAGGAGAAGCATAAACATTGACCACTATGTTAGTTTGAAAGGAGTTTTCTTTATCATATTTGTATATCTACAGTAACAGGTATTGAAGTTTTGAATTCTCTACAATATACAGAATTTATTTTTGCTGTTGTTCATATTCCTAAGAAAAATACGAACATAAGACCAGACAAGGCTAGTCTACTTATATAAGGCCGCATTTTTAATCCTTTTCAAGAATCATCTTCTTGTAAATATAAGACTATGGAAAGAAGTGACTTTAGAACCCAAATGTTGTTGGTCACAAATTTTGAAGTGTCCAGGTCAAGTTTCTCTATTTATTAAATTGGATAGAAATAGTATTTACTATTTTTATGAAGATTAAACAAGTTACTGTAAAGATTAAGTAAGATAATGCCTGTTAAGTACTTAACACCCACAACAGGATTGTTAAAAAGGGCTTTCACTCCTTCAGTTCCTTCTCGTTTTCATTTTTATCTAAAAACTAGAGAGAGGTAATATTTCAAGTTTTGAAAACAAAAAATGTAGAAATCATATCTAAGTGCAAAATTACTATTATTGCCATTTTCATGATTATTTTCATTGTGTGCTTTTCTTTTTTATTATAATATATACATTTACATTGTACAACATGATGTTTTCATATGCATATTCATAATAAAACTACTACAAGTAAACAACTTAATGTATTAATTACCTTGCATTGCTACCACTGTGTGTGGTCGGGTGGAGGGATAGGGAAGTACACCTCAAATCTACTCACTTAGTAAATTTTAAATATAAAATACAACATTTTAACTATAATCTTCCCACTCTACATTAGGTCTCTAGACTTACCTATTCTACATAATTGCAAGTTTGTACCATTAGACTGACATCTCCCCATTTCTTGCCCCTCTTTCTCCCTTGCAACCATTAGTCTACTCTCTGTTTATATGTACTCAACTTCTTTTTTAAGATTCACACATAAGTGAGATCAAGCAATATTTTTCTTTCTGTGACTTATTTCACATAGCATAATATCCTCCAAGTTCATCCATATTGTTCCAAATGGCAATATATACTTTTTTAAAGCTGAATAATAGTCCATTACACACACACACAATATTTTCTGCATTCATTGATAGACATTTGTTTCTATATCTTGGCTATTGTAAATAATGCTGCAATGAACATGGCAGCTCAGATATCTCAGATATTTCTTTTGGGTACATACTCAGAAGAGGAATTGCTAGATCATATAGTAGTTTGATCTATTGTACTTTTTTGAAAAACCAACATATTGCCTTTTCTTTCTGTAAGAGCTGTCTCAATGTTTCCTGCAGGTTACAAAGTTTGTCTCTGGTGCAAAATCCATCAGAGAACCAGAAATACCATGTTTTTAAAAACTTCATCTACTTTTCAGGTGTACTATATTATTTTCCTGAACTTTCACATTCTATAATTCATCAGTTGATTTCAAAAATTGATCTGTCTTCTTTAAAATAAAAATATACTTGAAAGAGTAGGTTTTACAACCTAAATGTTGATCAATGATAGACTGGATTAAGAAAATGTGGCACATATACACCATGGAAAACTATGCAGCCATGAAAAAAGGATGAATTCATGTCCTTTGAAGGGACATGGATGAAGCTGGAAACATCATTCTCAGCAAACTATCGCAAGGACAGAAAACCGAACACCACATGTTCTCACTCATAGGTGGGAACTGAACAATGAGAACACTTGGACACAGGACGGGAACATCACACACCGGGGCCTGTCAGTGGGTGGGGGGCTGGGGGAGGGATAGCATTAGGAGAAATACCTAATGTAAATGACGAGTCGATGGGTGCAGCAAAACAACATGGCACATGTATACCTATGTATCAAACCTGCATGTTCTGCACATGTACCCTAGAACTTAAAGTATCATTTAAAAAAAAAAAATAAATTTTTAAAAAAAGAAAGAGTAGGTTTTAAACCCTTTTCAGTGGTAGCACAATGCCTTCTCAAAAACAAGCACTAATAACATTTGAAAATACAAAACAAGTAAAAACTGAGCTACTGTGGTTGAAGCAGAGTCTGGAAACCAAGAGTTTAGAGCACAAAAGTAAAATGGCAATTTAGAAAATCATTAGCTTAGAGACTGTCAAGATTTCCAGTGAATAAGTTTAGTAATTCATTTTACACAGATGCCATAATAATGTTGAGTGCAACCAAATTAGAAAGGCAACAGAAAATGAGGTGTCTTTGAAATTGAGGCTACTCCTGACTGGCCTGAGTCTTTTCTTCTGAGGATGCTCCTGTCTGTGCCCAGCTACAGTTATAGGATGTAGGCAAACAGAACTTATTTACTTTCCCACTGACTGCTCTGTTTTTCCTAGAAACATTTTATTGGTGTTTCCAGTCACTCACCAAACCATGTAGTTGTCCATCTTCAAAAAGTTCACTGTCACACAGACTTATTTAGGATTATAGAATATTATAATTTACACAAATAAGTGTTTCAAATAGGCCTAGTGGTTTTAAATGCTTAGGTGGTACTGTGGCACTTACACTAAGAAATTAACAGCCAACACTTCATTGATTGATCTGGAAATTATCTACTCAATTATAAGTCATGTAGCCATTTCCAGATGTTTGTTCATTAGTTATTGCTTATTCAGAAGATTGGCTATATTGGTCCTCATATATTTTTAGGTTTATTAGAGTGTGAACGAACATATACTGTAATTACAAGATGCAGATGAGCAACCATCTGCAGACAGTTCTCCTCTCAAGGACTTTTAGATCAAACTGAGTCATATTCCACTGATGAGTTTCCCCTGGATTAAAGCTTTACAGCACTGTAAATGACAATAATTATGGTGCTGAAAATATAATGTTTTTTTGGACTGGAAACTTCCTTTTCTGTCCTTTCATGCTTTTAAAATAACTTCTAAAATAAACAACTTCTTGTATGATATGTTAATAAGTCCTTTAGGTCAACATTTTTGTGAGGTTGTAAATGGACTATTATTGATAAAGGAACAATTTATTTTTAGGTCACAGTTTGGGCTCCAGAAACTGTAACTTAAATATTTGACAATAATTTTCAAAGATATATCTTCATCCATTAGTCATCTCACCATATTTCTTCCTTTTTAGTGCAAAGATTCATCCTATCTCAACTATGGTGTGTTTTTGTTTGATTTGTATTTTAGGAAAATATTTATTGGAAATGTCTACAGTGGAGAAGTTCTCTGGAGTTTCTCCAGGTATTTCTGCCATAAACTAACATTGCAAACAGAATATTCAAATTGTATTAGCAAATTTTTCTCATGCAAAGTTGATTTGCAGAGATTGTTGGAAATAGGGATATTTTTCTCACTGTGGTTTTTCCTTTGTCTTGTGGATTACACAGTGAGCGAACTATTATTTTAATATTATGAAGCAAAATAATACAGCTTTGTATGGTCTCTCTGAGAACAACAGATTTAGTTTTGGATTATAAAAATATTAATAGGCTTTGGCAAGTAAATTCAGAGACTTTTAAAACTAGTATATCCAGTTTGAAAGATTTTCTCCCATTTTTAATGTTACATTACTCAACACATATTTCCTAAATGTCTAAAATAGGCAGAGCTCTATTGTATATTTGCTAGTTCCTGAATAAAGTAATAGAACATTTTTAATGTTGTACTTACTAACTAGTAGGAGTTGATAGACATAAAACTAGCCAACTGTAGTTGTAAGCAGAATTAAATTGGTGCTAAAACATAGACTCGAGCAACATCCTGGAAGGAGAAAAATGAATGGAGAAAATGAACTCGAGCTGGTATTTTTCAGCCTCTGTTCTGTGAAGAGGCTGTCTTCTCATTTCCTGGCTTAGGTCTTTATGCATTTATATGTTCTTTTCTATCATGTTTATGGATTTAATATAGGGAGTAGAAGACTGCAATGTAGACTCTATCTTAAAATCAGAAAGCCAAACAAATGAAAAGCTCCTCACCATGCCCATGGAAATTCAGATTAAAACAAGAATGTTACAGCAAACAAAGTAAAAAAAAAGGTTGACAAGTTTGATGAAGGTGTAAAGAAACTGGTACTCTAAATACTGCTGGTGAGAGTATAAATTTGGGGTGGTAAAATTGGCGATATGTATCGTAATTGAAATAATCATATCCTATTTTACAGCAATTCACCTTCTGCATATTTACCTTGGCTAAACAGACATAATGTGCACAGAAAACAATGTATAAGGGTGTTTAGTTCAGGCTTTTCTGAAAGAGCAAATAATAGAATCACCTTTCCCCACTGAGTGTCGATCAGCATGTGAAAAACTAACTTCTCCAAGAATGAGGTAGATCTCATGTAAACACAAAATAAATTATTATGTGAAACAGTTTACCCTGATAAAGGAAGACATCATTAGAGACAGTGGTAAAATTGGATTTTAGCTAATATCTGACATTTAACATATTATAAAAGTATAATACACACATATAAAATGGCATGCCATAGTGTCCTGCTTGATGGCCTTTTTTAAACTGAATACATCTATGAAATACTGATACCCTATGAAACACTGATACCAGAGAAGTCTGTCTCATGTCCCATTCCAGTCATTAAATGTCCCTCAACAGTAACTTCTACGTGGTTTTCTAACAGCATAAATAAATGTGTCTGATTTGTATTTCAGTTAAATAGAATCATACAAAAAGTTCTTTTTTGTGTCTGCTTTCTTTTGCTCAACATTATGTTTCTAACATTTATCTGCAAGGACATATGTAGTTGCATTTTATTCATCTCTTTGCTGAATAGACATTTATTCCATGTGTGAATCTGCCACATGTATTTATTCATACAATTAACACTTGCATAGGTCTCAGTTTGAGATGATCGCATACAGCATTTGTATGAACACTTTAGGATTCATCTTCTGTTAACATAATGCATGCATTTAAGGAGAGAGCATATACCAAGGTGTGCAATGGCTGGGTCACAGTGTGTACATGTTTAGCTTTAGCACACCTTCTCAAATATTTGTCCAACCAATTAGTATTTCAATCAATTGTGTATAAAAGTTCTGGTTGCTCTACATCCTCACCAACATGTTTTCAGACTTTTCATTCTATTCATTCAGGTGGGTGTGCAGTTGTATCCTATTACCATTTCAATTTCCATTTCCTTGATAAGCGATAGTTGAATAGCTATTAAAAAACATTTTTAATAGGCTTATTTGTATTGGAAAATACTCTTTTATGAACTCTCTGTTAGGATCTTCTGTTCATTTTTCTCTTGTGTGTCCCTTATTTTTGTTATTGGTTTTAAAGAGCTGTCTATATATTCTGGTTTTGTGCCCTTTATCAGAAATAGCAAATATGTGCTACTCTGAGGGTTACAAATTCACTCTTGTGATTTTTGATGACAGAAGTCCTTAATTTTAATATAGTACAATTTATCGATTTTTTTTCTTTTATAGTTAGTGATTTGTAGCCTCTATTTAATAAGTTTGCCTATTCTAAGGTCACAAAGATGATTTACTATGTTTTCCTTTGTATCATCTTTATTGTTTCATATTTTATGTTTAGATCTGTAATCCATCTAGAATTAAATTGTGTATGTGGTGCGAGGAAGCAGTCAAGACTCATTTTTTTCCAGATAAATATCCAATTGATTAAGCACATCAAGAACACTGCATTGTTATAAA